TTTGTGGATATTTTTAGAGCAAATTCGCCATCGTGTTTTTCTAGCAATAATATTTTCTATTGAAATATTCTCGTCAGATTAATGGTGTCAATAATAATAATATAGAGGTATATTGAAATCAGTATTGACTAGAATATGTGTATTCTATATTATATTATATGAACTGGAAAGTGTAAAATGGAGCTATGGATAGTACGGATTCATCTAACTTTCGCGGTTGATTGAAATCGGCTCTGGAATGATAAGCTCAATGAACATGACCTTATTCTTCTCCAAATTCATCCTGAATCCAAATAACAAAGAGACGTCATTTAGACTGCAGCATTTCTGCAGATCCTGCATCGATTTCACCATTAAAATGATGTCATCGGCAACCGTATGATATAATCTTCTATAGGGAAGTGGATTTACACGGAGAAAAACTTGCAATCGCAAGCATATAAACTTACTTTTCATTGAATTGTTTTTCATATTGTTTGGGTAGATTAAATAGGTTGGGAGATGGCTGTTAAATGAGAACTAGTGATGTTAAATAATGACCGTTAAATACCACCAGAAACACAGTTACTATGTGGACCAATGCCTAGACTTGGAGACGGCTAGGTAATAAATTGTGCTTTTGATACATTTTGTCACCGTTCTTACTTTTATTATATTTTAGCGGAGATTGACAAAAGGTAAAAAAATATATATATTTTTGATGATTTATAATATAATTTTGGTATACAAATCGTAATATAACTCATTCGCATGCAATTATTAAAATTAATCGCACATGACATGCCTAATTTGGAACTATCACTTATGATACATTTTTTATCGAAACATTTTATTGATGAAAACAATTAATTTGATAATAAGTTACATCAATCGAGAATAATTATCCTGCGGACTCCCCTTGGAAAGCGTTTCAGATTAACCACTCGATCTTAGAAGAACTGAGACAAAAAGAGATCATTTTTTTAGTTTAAATTTAATAATAAATAATAAAGTATCTTTATTCATATAGACGCTTACGCGTTCTTATGAAACGTCGGAATCGATTAAAGATTGATGTTTTACATAAAAGTTTTCATGCTATGGTTTCAATTCTTTTTTAAAAATGCCTGTCACTCATTATCCACTTCATGGCAAGAATCTTACCACCTGTCATATCTAGCAGTAACGAAACTCAGTGAAACCCGATATCACTAGCTATAAGTATTTAACTACCCCGTAAGAGTTATGTTGAAAACGCTTGTAGGTATACATTGTAAAGAGAATTCACTAAAATGATAAACCGATTTTCTACAGTTTGATGGAAAATCCTTTACATCGAGGCTTTGTACGCAGAACGTTAATATCTCAATCAATTAAGCGTGAAATAAGGTCACGTCAAGTTAGACTGAGGGACTTTGAATTATTCTCGGGTCGGAAATCCTCGATGATTAATAATATACACATATAGGTACCTGTTTAAAGTTATAAGAGACCTTTTTTATGCTTAAAGATTTCGATAATTACGTAATTTGATTACACAATCATTCTACGCGTTCTTCATTTGTGTAAGTGATTTTGAGCAAAGTAATTCTTCACGTAGTGATACGTAAAAATTGGCAATAAATAAAGTATACTTAACTAAAACTTTGAAAAGTACATTGATTTTCTGACGATAATTCAAAGACCCACTCTATATAACGATAGAAAATGTTACTTATTTATTTTAGACGTTGAATTGGTCGATTCTGTGGTCGGGCCACGCTGCAACTTAAACTCGTCCAGGGAAGTATCACGGCCGTCACACACAAGGTGATAGTATAATTTTTTCGCGGTTCTCTTGGTGAGTGAGGTTACCGGGGCCCACTTTTTTAATATTGACAACGCATCAGACCCGTCAGGTGCTGGAGACGTCCTTAAGCGGCAGAAATTCCTTAAAATCAGGTGAACCGCTCGTTTTTCAACTTTTAACATTAACGATGACAAATAGTTATCCAAACTTCAAAGTTCTTCATTGTATTAGTACAAATGCATATTTATACGTTATACTCGTATAATCTAGCTACACAAACACGCCGATTGTGCCGTGCTCAAAATTTACTATTCAGATTCAAACTTTATACAAACTTTACGCAAATTATTGGATTTTACTTTTCGAACAAAAGAGCACATGATATGGAAAATAATTATTACTTACATTGTTCTAGTAATTTAATACTTGCTAAAATATCTGCCTTATTTTTGGAGTCAATAAATTAACAAGAAAAATATTTAATGGTTTTGAAGTGATATAGAAAAAATATAGATTAGAATGCTTCGCCACCGACTTCCTCCTGGATTGAATAGTATATACGTACAATATGTGTTTTTTAATCTGGCAAACTTCTCATTTTCATCAAAGATAACAAATTGTAATTTAAATTTGTTCTTTTCGGAACCCAAATAAGCTACTGTATTCTGGCTGTATATATTAGCGTTAAAAGAAATAAGAACGAGGGTTGCGAAATTGGCTTAGATATGCTCGAGTTCTTGTAGTTAATGTAACGCATATAGAATATATTCTCTCGCATTCATAAATCAATTATTTTTATGCAACAAAGTAGAATGATGAATCTTCGTATTACCGCGAATTCTCTAAACAAAAGTGTTTTCTGGTTTTTAAAGTGTTTCATTTTGTTTCCAACACTTCATGATCGCCCAACTTGGATGTTTTACGTGCTAATGTCATTATCAAATTATTTTTTTATGTGATAAGATGGCAAGCGAGCTGACGTTTCACTTGATGGTGAGTGATTACCGCCACCCATGGACACTGGCAACACCCACAAGGTTGTAAAGGCGTTGCCACCTTTTAATGAAGTGGGCCCCGGCTACCTCACTCACCAGACGAAACGCAGAAGCATAATACTTCCACTTTACGCCAGTCTTCTGTGAGGACTTGGTACTTTCCCAGACGGACCTGCCCATTCCGTGCATCGGCGAACATCACCGAATGTGGCCCTACCACTAATTTTACTCGTAGTTGTATGTTACTCGTAATATTAATTAATGTCAGTTATGTTGTTGTTTTCTTTAGTCTACCTTATTTATTTTATTTGTATCTCCACCAACGAAAAGAGGTCACAGAATCCTTATTGGGAGAAAAGATTTATCCTTGAGATTTTTATTCAGTGATAAGGGCAGAGATCACTTTTTATCAAAGCTTTTGATGAGCAATAACTCTTCTTAGCAATTGCCTGATTCTCCTTATTTGTAATCTTAGTTTTGATGTAGAAAGTTGTCCCTTATATTAAAAATTTTACTGTAGCTGTACTTCAGTAAATATTGTCTCTTAATTTTTAAAAAGCCTTCTGGTCTACAGTAAAAAAAGTCGAATACCCGGAAGCCCTTATGACTTGCGGGCTTCTATTATCTACAAAATGATTAGTTGATCGTGACGTGAATTAAGGCTTATTTGGTCTTAAATTATTGATATCAGTCTTATATACATAAAGTTTTTGAAGAAGAAGAAGAACTTCTTCTGATATCACAAAAACTTGTGCATATTACATTAAACATTTTGAATATTATTCCAATTTACACTTAAAAAAGGGAATATTTTTTGAGCGACCACTATATTCTTTAAAATAATAATACCAAATTATAGCTGGTTGTCTGTGGTCAAATGCAAAAATAATTCGTCGCATAATTTCTCCATCACCTGTTAACCTAATATTCCATGTAGTCAATATTACTAGCCACCATTAACCAGAGATAAACCATGTAATATAAGAGCAAAAACCCTAATGTGTAAATGAAGTTTTTGCTTCAAGCACACTTAATATTTCTACAGTAAAGTGCCATCCAGTTTTTTAACTTTCCTTAGTTTATTCATATAGATAGCTTACCCACCATATTGATCTGAGACTGAATAATTAAATCCACAATAAATAAGGCTTAATGAATGTCTTTGAATAGAAACAGAAGTTAGCCGTGGCTTTAAGCGAGCTGAATGAAATTTGTGGACTTGGTGAAATTAAATAAATTCCGAGAGCAATTAATTCTCATTCTGTTCTTTAACTAAATCCTTTACACGGCTCTTTCAATTAATGCTTGATAGAGTGAATTTCAAAGATTGTTTGGTGAAGTACACAACTTACTTTCAATTATGTTCAAACAATCCACTTATTTTTTTAACGATATTTCTCTCATATTTAGTAATTGGAACACTATAGACTTCACTTTTTGTACAGAATTGTACATAAGTTTATATCAATGCAGCACATGATAGTTACTGCTGATGTACATCTTTCATCTTTTCCCGTAACTAAATTTGTACATATAATTTGTCAGAAAAGTTCGACAGAAACTAATCATTCCGTTCAACATTTCAAATTAAAGAAAAATAAGCAAGATATTGTATCTAATAAGTTGGCTTTTTGATTTAGTTTACATAATCTAAATCCCTAATAGCTCATGTCCACATTATAGCCCATTGCAATTAATCTTACTTTGGCCGATAATCCATCTTTTGGCAGGATCCTTTGGCCAAATAGACGTGGCATCCATCTACTGCGACCCAAAATTTATCTTTACGTCAGGTAGCACTAAAACAATTGAATGTTATGTCCCTTGGCTTTAAAATAAGTAGTTAATAACAAGAGATTAATTATTTAATATCAGCTATAATGTTAGTTTACTAGTTTAGAATACGTAAGAATATAGACCTGTTTTTTTTAACTAGTCTTATATTATTACAAAATTTATCCATTATATAGTTTAAATTACAATCCAAGTACGCTTATCTATCTATTATCGTCTATTTTTTGTAATGGTTATTGACGATTCAGGATAGGTTAAAATAAATTAAACTTTAACAAAAATACTTATAAATTATTAATAAGGCATATTTTAAGATTTTTCCAATTCTTTTAGAGGATATATACGAATATCTTTTATAGACTTAATACTTAGGAGATATGCGTGTAATTTTACACGCCGTTTTTGTCAGAAGAAAATTATTTAATAAAAACTAACTCGTCGACATGGTCTGTTCGAGGAATAACACAATTTTCCAGAAACATATAATAAAGTCACGATGTAAATAGTTTTTTGCAGCATTATATTACCTAAAATGAAATCCACGGATAACATAAATAGGTAGAAAATAAAATTCCTTAATCGTTACATTTGAACAGAACTTCATTAAAAATCGAGATTATATTGTTAAAGGAATCTGCTAGTACTTACATCACCTAAAATTGTCAATCGTACCCACGTCACAAGAATAATTTCAGGCCACAGAAATTGAAACACCGCCATCTGATGTACACCTAAGAAACTACAGCTAAGTTAAATACTTCAAACCAGGCCAACATTTTTCCTGAGGTCTGCAAATGATAAGTACTTCAGAAAATATTAAGATGTCGTTTATAATGCTGTTAACAAATTTTATATCTTATATGTAATGGTGTTATTTTAAGACATATTTCGGATATTACTAAATAAGTAGTAGTTGACGCCATGTAGTCGAAATTGGACCATAATCAATTCTAATTATAAGTTTGTAAAAAAATAATCTATTCTCAAATACAATACATAATAAAGAAAAGATTATAAATGCATATGTGTTACAAATACATGGCAGTGTGTGTAATGTTTCGTACGCTGATTTAATGTATTTTTTATACATAATTAAAAAAAAATTGTTAGCATTTTTCTCTGCTGCATCCGCGCACTTTCGTAAAAAAGGGTAAGTCATTTTTGTTTCACGTATTAATATTTGGATTAAAAATCATCAGAATAAATACTTTACCTTTGGAAATGCTATTTAAATATTCTGAATACGTTTTAGGCCTTTCATATTTAAGGCATTTAACCTATTATTTTTTTAATTATTTAGTACAAAGTCTAAAAATTCAAGTTTAATTATTTTCACTTGAGTATTGTTTCGTACATGAGTGCAATAGATACTTATGAATGTTTATATTAGTCTTTTTGGGAGCTTAAAACCAGCTATCATAGGTTATTAGTATATCTTTTCTTTACAAATGTAAATTATTCTTTATTAATACTGATTTTTTGAGGAGGATGGTTTTGCAAATACTAAAAATAATAGGCATCATGTCAAGACAAAGTAATAATATAAAGATAATAGCAATAGCCTACGACACTTGCATTCACAATATTGCAATTAGAACAAAGCCTTCGCTTATCTCTGCCCATTCACAGTTTTCAATTTTCAATGGACGTACCATTGAAAACGCCTGTCGACCTTCCGAGTTAACAGCGTCATATTGATATCTAAAACGGGCATGCGCGTATCTCGGCACGCATGCGCAACGGCAAACCACTGTTGTGTACAATGTACAGTCTCATGTGCCAAGACCTGTCATGCTTCAATAATAAGCGCTTATTACTTTAAAACTAAAAGCAGTAGCATTGAAAGTTATCTGTGCGGTAGTACCCTTTAAGTAATCGAAGTGTTCATTAAATCGATCAGTACCAATCAATACGCTGTTGTAGTTGCGTTTGATTGTCTAAATTGACAACGTTGGCTAGTTGCTTTATGAAAGCACTAAACTTCATAAAGCAAACTTGATACGACTTGAATTTTACGCGTTCAAAAGGAAAAAAATCAACAGGTAGGTCGGCCGCTTACGTATAGCAATTTGATAAGAATGTAGATGTAGGTCTTTCAGATGTGGGCGTTACTCTAGACAAACAGCGTGGGTGGAGCGTTCGGTTTCTCGTAGACTTTACGTCTACTGCATCTCCAATGACTGTGATTTTAATTGAATAATTTTTTATATCTGCCTTTTTATTACAGAAATTCTAATATGTTGAAGTTATTCTAAATTTTTGCCACCCTTAATGATTAAGATCATCTAATGAAAGATATTAATATTTTATTATGAAGCTTCATTTCTTTTGTTGATTGCGCTTTGGTTATATAAAATAAAAATGTACTCTACGCACATGTGTAAAGTATTGAAAACAAATGCGTTCATTCATCACGGTGTCGAATATTCAGACAAAATCAATATGTGTCAATAGGGGTGTAACGCTTTCATGTCGCGTCCTATATTACGGTTGTTGGGATGTATTATTTGAGAGAATGTACCTGATAATAATACAAATAATATCACAATGTAAACACTTATAATTTAAATGATTTAAATATTATCATAAAATTATTATTTACTCAGTTTTGTCTATAATTCTATCTACAATACTTTTGCCTTATTAACATACTTATACCTATGGGCACCATGTCATTTATATTATTAGAATAAAAATAAAAACAAAGAACAAATATATCTCTTACGTGTTTTTTTCGGTTTCTTTATAATAAGATATGTCTAGGTAACTAAATTTTATGGGTACACATACTCAACAATTATTATATGAAAACGAAATCAAGAATAAAATTGAATGTGATAAGTCCCTACTGAAATTTGAATCTAACAATATTCTTAAGATTACAGTTACATTTCAGTAGAGCTACGAGACTAATTGCGTACTTAGAACAAAAGTAATCTATATTTACATACTTCTTTCGAAACGGGGCTTAAATTATTCGGCTTTATTTATTTTATTTAAATTAAAAAAGAACGACAGGGCTGGAACATAATTATGTGTTTTGACATTAAACCTTAAAACTTTAATTCAATTTCAAATGAAAAATTATATGAATAGCGAAAAGATCACAGATAGTGTCGATCGATTTTCACACGAATATGCGATTCCATTTTTTGTCTGGGAACAGGTCCCCTGTTAAATTGAAACGTTTTATAAAGTCGTAAAATGAGTATTTTAAATTTCAATTGCTTCTAAACATTCTTAATTCCTTTGTTCTCTTTAAAATTTCCTTAGATTTACTGAGGACATCATAAGCAAAATACTATCGGTATAAACATACAGCCTTTCTAAGAATTATAGAATTTGCACCATTTATAAAAAAACGTCTACACAAAGTAGTAGTAATTTATTTTTGTTTAAATTTTCCCTCATTTAAAAAAAATAGTTTAAATATTTCTGGAAACAAATAGTTTCAGTTTGAGTGCAGAGACTAGCACATAAAATTAATCGTAAATCTTTCTTAAAATTAAACCATGTTTCTTTGGACCAGACGCTACTTCTCTCTACGTTAAGTCACGCGTCCCTTTAATTTCCTTTCTACGGAGTACTAACAGTTGCCGGCTGAGCTTCGACGTAAGCAAACGTTTGTAGTATCAACTTTTTGATTAACGAAATAGAAAATAACGAGTACAAATACATAGTAATAATGGATATTTCGGTGACTAGGCACTTTAGTTTAGACGAAGTAAGTAAAAAAATATATAATTATGAACTTATTATTTTAGAAAGTTGTATATACTTACATTTTTCATTCTACATAACAAAATTATTTATTTTAGTAATTATCTATTAAGTTAATCTTAGCTATTCTAGATTTTGGTGATAAATTCGCATTTTTTGTAAACCAAGTATTAATTTTCTACCAGGTTCAATCGAAATTATTGAATTTTGATAGCTAGTCCTTTTTTTAATCCATGAAATGTTTTATATTTAAGAATTCCATGTTCATTAATCATAGTTTCACTTAATTATGTACAAAAATTCTTAGCAATGTAACGTATTTTTTGTAAAATTTCTTTTTTAGTTTTTTTGGGTTTTTAGCGAAAAATCTGTACAATCAAATGGTTTATGCAATTTTTTAAATAATTTCTTTAATAAAATTTCCGTTATACCCTACCACCAGATTTATATTACTAGGGAAATGTGATACATACCTATTTTTTTCTTAGGCGTCAATGAGAAGCGGGGCTTTAGCTGCAATGGAGGCAGAGCCAGACCTCAGCACTTTCGAGAACAAATCGGGCTTAGCAGAGGACATGAAGTTTCTAGCTTCTATGCCCGAACTATGCGATGTCACATTTCTTGTCGGGGACACCAGGGAACCGGTTTGCGCTGTCAAAGCTGTTTTGGCATCGCGTAGCAGGTATTTACCACTGTCTCTATTTGATGGTCACAGTGTTTATCAAGGTAGTAAATTAATATCCTTTCAATCATCCAGAGTATTCCAAAAAATGCTCTATCAGGCTCCGAGCCCTCAGAGGAAGAAGGAGCCAGCACCGCGCGAAAATAAACTGAGACTGTTCCTCAAAAGATCGTCCGAACCCCTGTTAAATCTGCAGAACGCAGCGCAACAGGTATGTGATATTTTGTACTTTAATAAACATTTCTATCTCAGGACCACGATAGCGCTACGAAGCTTCGACGCATTTGAGCCACATATTACCCGCGCATGTATCGCGCTCATCCCAAAAAGTCAATTCATGCGAATGGAATCGATTACACGCTCGCAAGTAAATTTAGTACGGCCTAATGCGCCCAAAGGTTTAGGGAAATATGTTTACTTTAGTCAAAAGGATTCAAATGTATTTTCAAAGGATCGTTGTACGAGTAAGTGTACAATGAGTATGTATCGACAGTAGGATGAGAAAAAAATATATGAATAATTTGTTGTATTTTTGTTTAAGCATATTCAAAATATTTCTGTAACCAAAATGTTTTCAACACGCAACCAACTTTTTTACTATTTCCACTACAGAGATCGACTTTCACGCAGCAATTGGCACCAATACAAGAGGTAAAGACAAAATTAAAGCTGTTGTAGGATGTCTTTTATACAGTTTAATTACTTATTCAATTCAGGTTGTTTTAATATTGCAAACACTTTGTTGTAGTTACGTTGATCGTCTGCGTAAATCGAGACATTTCGTTCGGATATATTTACTTGCATGTTTTTTTTCTACTTCTTGTTGTTATTATGAATGTATTATCGAAATTTAAAATAAACTAACTACGTAAAATGTCGATGTTGTCGTATTTTTTACAAAATTAAAAATTTAAAAGATATTGTACAGCATGATTATAATCATGTTTATTAAAGTATTTTGAAGTAGGTTGTGGCATATTATATCGACTTATTTGGCTTAATGTTTAATTTAGTTTAATATAGTATTATATTTACAAAAACGATATTCATAATTTGCCAAAAAAAATCTTATGCTTCATTTTTTATCTCTTTATTTTCAAAAATATTATGCACAGCGTTAAAATATAAAATTTTCACCTTAGTTTTTTATACATACTTTGAAAGTGGGTACTCTATAACTTCATTTCTTTTATCGTTTAGTTAAATTTAAATTAATTTTCAGAATATATAGCTTACTCGTTTTTATAAATAGCTAAACGAAAGTGCCTTTTGTGAAATTAAATGTTTTTTTTTTTCTATTATATCATTGCATACCTATATTCGACGTTAACAAACTACGACAGAAAAAACCATTTGCTGTAATGTTGTCAAATAAATATGGTTCGTTTTGTTACAAGCCGTGTTCTCAGCAATACCAAACGCGTAATGTTGTCAAATTAATATGGTTCGTTTTGTTACAAGCCGTGTTCGCAGCAACACCAAACGCGTAATATTGTCAAATTAATGTGGTTCGTTTTGTTACAAGCCGTGTTCGCAGCAACACCAAACGCGTAATATTGTCAAATTAATGTGGTTCGTTTTGTTACAAGCCGTGTTCGCAGCAACACCAAACGCTCATTATCGAGGAATTTGAGCCGGACGTGTTTCGCCAACTAATCGAATACATCCACACGGGATGCGTGACACTCCAGCCAAGGACTCTGTTGGGTATGTGCTTGTCTTATTTACTTATTATTTTTTTATTAATATTTATTTATTTTCTACTTTGAAAGCTTTCTATAACTTTGCTTGAACTTTACTACAGATGACCTTCACTTTATTTTTAACTAGCGACCCGCCCCAGCTTCGCGCGGGTCCAGTGTATTGTACATATAAACCTTCCTCTTGAATCATTCTATCTAGTAAAAAAATTAAGATCCGTTGAGTAGTTTTAAAAAGATCTAAGCATAGACAGACAGCGGGACGACTTTGTTTTATACTATGTGGTGATACAAACTATTAGCCATGTCTGGGATTTGGTTCATTAAACGAAGTTTAGAAGAAAGAAGAGCAATTTATATCGAGTTTTAAGAAAAGCTTTTATACTTTTACGTCCTTTTACGTCCGAGTAATTTTATTACATTTTCTTGTGCCTCCCTAAGATGGTGGCGCTTAAATTGATTTTCCACTCCCTGCGCCGAAGTTGACTACTTAATTTTATAATAATCCAACCTTTTCGATCTCACAGTTCGAGCTATAGGTATTATGTTTAAAATAGGATTTATATTTTTCTTTTAGATCTATGTGTCACGCCACGATCATATACATAATGAATACACAAAATTTTTATACTAAATTTTATTTAAAAAAAATAGTTGCATAAATTTCAGGAAATATTTACTGTGTGAAATTAAACCTTGTTAATGTCATGGATATAGTTAATATTGAAAACATTAGATCTTTAACTTTAGCGACATTGCAAGTGTTCAAACGGGTTTTGTCATTTGACAGGCGTAATGAACGCTGCAGATTATTATGGCTTAGACGAGCTTCGTCGGGCTTGTGCTGGGTTTGTCCAGTGTTGCATCACGGTGGATACGGTTTGCGCACTCCTCGCCTCGGCGGAACGTTATATCCAGTACAAATGCACTAAATCGCTGGTCCAAAAGGTATGCGTAACTGTTGTTTTTTAATCATTAATCATAATCCAATTAAGTCCTCACAATCAATCTGAAAGCTCCAAAGTCGACACCCACGATTGATTATTTCGTAAATAAATAAGCTTGTCTTGGCATTGTGTCAATTAATGTTAAATTGACACAATTTCATTTAATTTTAAATCTTAATTACAGAGATATAAAAAAATTTTGATTTAGACAAAAACAAAATTATCAGAGCACTATAAAAGAATTTAAATTTCTGTGTCAATTAAATTATATTTTATGATTTCCTTTTCTAGACAAAAAACGCAAAAACTTTAGGTTACTAGCTAAAAATAAAAGTAAACTACAAAGGTATATTGATTTTACTAAGAAATTCGACTTTAAAATTCCAGGTGTTGGAATTCGTTGACGAGCATGGGAATGACGTCTTGAACCTAGGTTCTTTTACGCTGCTGCCTCAGCACGTTGTGCGACTCATTTTGGCTCGAGACGAACTTCGAGCTGACGAGTTCACCAAATTTCAGGTATCTATAAAAGTATAGTAAATTAACAGCCTATTCATGTCTCACTGCTGGGCAAAAAACCTCCGCTATACGGAGGGTATCAGGCCATAGTCTACCACGCGGCCCCACTGCGGATTGGCAGACTTTACATATCTTCGAAAAATATATTTTTTTTGTTATTACTTCGAAAAAATGCAGTGCATTGTGCATAAATGTACTACTACCTATTTGCAAGAATAGTTTAACGCTCAGTTGGGATTAAAACTATCGCATACATATTGTATATATAAACACCTTATATTTAAAACACAATATACAAACTATTACAATTTTAATTAATTTTTAAATGAAACTATTTTACGCATTTTATTTTGATTTTCAATTCCTGATTCCATAGTGTAAGTAACTCGTTCATGTAGCACTGTATACGCTTCTACAACAAAATCCCTATAAACGCATAACACGTAATGCTTGCATATAAACAGGTTTAAGAAGTTTATTAAAAAAAACTTTATAAAAAGGTTTATTGTAATATAATAACCCCTGGGAATTAATTGATCGCTGCTAAGCTATTTCTAAAAGAAAAAAGATTAAAATGTTTAATGTTATCCGGTAAAAAAAATATAAAAGTATAAATGACTTTGATTTTTGCGATAAAATCCGTATAATAGTTTTTTTATGTACAGTTTTCGTGTAAAAACAAGAAATCAATTTTATTCGAATAAGAAAAATTAAATATTTATACGATAGTATATAATAAATCATTAAGCAAAATTTATTTACATCCTATGTATAATTCAATGAAAAGAATGAATTTAATGATTTAGTTATACTCATATAAAATATATAATGTTCTTACTTTTCAGGCAGCACTCATGTGGAGCAAAAAGTACTGTGACACCAATCAGAACATGTCACTTAAAGATGTGATTGGTAATTTCCTCGAATACATTCAATTCCACAAGATTCCGGCTAACGTGCTTATGAGAGAGGTACATCCGCTGGGATTAGTGCCTTACTCCATTATCATGAATGCTTTGGCCTACCAGGTGCGTTACTCTTTACATATACCAAAAAACTGATACTCTCCAATAAATATTATCGATCTACCTACATTATCATATATATATATATATATATATATATATATATATATATATATACAAAACAAGATCTTCTACACAAAACTGAAACCCCTTCAGTTTTAAAGGGTAATAAACGATGAAACAATAAACTATACCCCCAATATCACCATCTAATATTTATCAAAGTATTCATTGAATTCATTAAGCGGCCAAAATAAAATGTCATAATTTAAAAGCATCGGTGTCACATTAAGTAATGCTGCTAAATTTAAGATTTGTTCACTACGCAATCAGAATACTGAAATACTTTAAAATTTCTCGATTCAAATTATTTGCTATCGATACCTTTGAAAATAAGACTATATTTAACATATACGCGAATAGAAGACATTGTTAAATAAAAATAATTTTGGGATATATTGCGTTAAGTAAAGGTTTTATTGCTGATGTTTTCAACAATCCTCAGTCTGTTCCGTGACCAACATGGGATAGACTTTTATTTTCTTCTGATAATAGTTAATTAGGGCTACCGTTAACTTTTAATGATTCATTTTGTCAGAAATCCGCAGTAGGGGCTCATAATATCTTGAAGTTTTACAGTATTGGTGTGCTTAGATATAGTTTTAGAAAATGCGACCAAAACTGGTGGCAAAGCCGGTTGGACTCTCTTCTAATTTGAAATTCAGATATTTTAAAGTTTCAACCGCACGAGTCAACCTTGGAAGAATGAGTATCGGTCCTTTGCGAGGATTTTTGGTTTGTCAAACCTTATGTAATGATTGGAGCGATCTATTTTAGACTTATTAAAAAAGGTGCTCCACATCACCTAGGTGTTCTTTTATTCTAGGTTTAACACGTCTTTTTGTTTGCCCTCTGTATGTAATACATTCTATTTTGCAGTATGTTACACTTGATGGATTATATATGAGAATTGGCTAATGCTTTTCGTCGCCTTGTAAAATATTATAATAAAAAAAATGAGAATTATTTTTCTTAACAATATAGAAATCATCTTAAAATATCAATATAAAGTTTTATAATAACAACTTCAAACTGAAAGGGTGTATACTTAGAACGCTGTTGTTGCAGGCAGACCCGGCCAGCGTAGACCCAGGAAAACTGTCCCCAGCAAGGGTACGACGGGCAGGTCGTTCTATGTCTGTGCAATCTTCTCTTGATCCTTATGGGTCCAACACCACTCTCTCCTCTACTGGCTCGAGCGATGTTCCGTCGTCAGACTCTCGGCACAACTAACGCGAGGGGAACTCCCCCCATCCCGCGCCTGATCCTGTCCCTGGCCCTTCCACTGCCACCACTTCCACACCTGCCCCTTCAGACAAACCTCCAGAAAAACTTGGTCTATTCTCCTCCATCAAAAGAGCTGCCAGCAAGAAGTTTGGTGACCGTCGTTCTCCAACGCCAAAAACGCGCGAGCCAAGATCGAAATCGGATTCAGTTAAACACGCTGCACTCACAAGACAAATATCAGAAACCGTAGCAGCATCGGGCGACCCGACTTTCGAACGCTGCAAACCAAGAAAACGTGATAGCGAGACGGAATTCCCTGTAAGAAAATCAACGTCAGAGATTTCCGAGAGCTTTCCATTCGTTCGACGTGCACTCGCTGAAATAGAAAACGGATTGAATTACTTTAGAAAATCGATTACGTCGGAACCGAGTGAGCCTAAGGCACCGTTGGCGCGGGCTGAACCTGTAGTTGTGGTGGCGGCGGCCGAAGACGAAACGCCCGCTTCTCCACCACCACCTATGGGCCTGAAGGAGCGTCGGGGTTCCAGGGGCTCACCTTGCGCGAACCTCCCACCATTAACGCTGCCACCTCCAACGCCGGATCCCTCGCCCGGGCGCTTATCCCCTAACCGACTTTCTCCTCAGCGCCCGAGAGAACCGTCTTCGGCACCGGTAATTTGTAATCCCCCGCGTCGTTCAAGGACGCGTTCAGAAATGCCTCCTGAGCCGCCGCCAAGATCGCCGCCAACTCCACGCCCGGCGTCCGTATCGCCGAAACACACGTTTGCCTTCAAAATAGTATTAAAAAAGGTAGAAAGCACGCCCAATACGTCATTCGATCGCCCGGACCAATGAGAGTACCTCCTTTAAGCGCGGCCACTGGTCAGTGGTGGAGTACTCAAGGTCATAAACGCGCTTTTCTCCGTATTTTAGGAAAGCTATCATATGTTGGTTAGCAGCCACCAAACCAATGTTAGCAACAAGCAACGATCAATTGCTACAAGAAACCTATGGTTAATAAAAGTAGGGGCTGGCCCCGTATCTAAGTTATGATAGAAATATATGTGTCGATGTCATATAAATAATAAAAATTAGCGATTAGGAAATAGATATAACGATTAGGAGATATTCATGAAAAAAAGTTGTTGCGGTAATTTAAACTTAAATTGTAAAAGAACGTACATATTTTGATACTATCGCAACACTGTAAGTTAAATTGACAGTCCTGTAATCGAATATTTATATTAACGTATAATTTATTTATACGTTAACAACTACGTGATAAATTTAAATCTTTCTGGCTTAAGGTACTTGCAAATACTCTGTTTTAACATATTTTGGAATTTGTACAAACTATTCGTACTTTTAGCATTTTATACCATTAAATAATAATTGTTATTTAGTTTTGACTATTTAGATGATGGAATCTCTCGATTAAGTATACTTATGTTCTCATGGAAAAGTTTTAAGAACCATAATATTATGATAAATATTTTTCGTAAATGATGCATTATTTGTCAAATGAAACTAATTTTCATATTCTATACAATTTAAATAATTTATAATATGATATGGTATGATTTAAATATATATATATATTTTATATTTTTAAAAATATGCAGCATACATGTTCACGGGGCAGACTAATAAGGAGACTGCGAAAGTCTTATCTTTACCAGCACTTTAATCCGTCCCATGACGATGAATGCTGCAAAAGATTCAAACTATTAGAAATTGCAATAAAATCACATAATTTGAAAGAATTGTTCGTTTAAACATAATTATGTAAAAGTTTCATTTAATCGGTTGATAAATTTTTAGTAATTGAAATTTAACTTAGTGCTTAAAACAAAATCTAGTCATTCATGTAAATAACATTATTAAAGTTAATGTTACGAAGTTATATATGTATATAATCGGGTAATGTGATTACTAGTGATACTGTTCATTGCCAATTTACAAGTTAATATAATTCTCTCTCAATGTAACTCGAGACATTGTAAATTTCGGAGAGGAATGGGGTCCGGATAGTTTGGTTCCCATAGATAAAATGTTCTTATTAGCATGGATGTTGGCTATGTTTTAGTATATACTTTTTTGGGAGGGTTAATGCTAGTAATGAATGTTAGCACGAAAATTCTAATAATTATTCTTAGTTATTAATTAAAATTTGTTATCAAATTCAAACAATCTCTGAAGTAATAAGCATAAATATAGCAATGCTTCGAAGACCCGAATGATCTAGTGGCTAGTGTACCTGCCTGCTGCGTCAGTGGGTGTGGGTTCGATCTCATTACTGTCTGAACTGAATAGTGTCGGTGTCTGGATATTTATATATGTATAATACGTATGTATTTAGAAAAGAAAAGTATGTTTATCAGTTATCTAGGGCCGATAGTACAAGCGTTGCTTAGTTTGGGACAAGAGAAACTTGTGTAAATATGTGTCACAAAATATTTATTATTATAATGCTAAATACATACGAGTTACACTGCCATAAATGCTAACTCACAAATTAAGTGAATGTTTAATAAAATAAATTATGGTTATCGAAATATATACATTAATTACATGATTAACGAGTAATGTTGCTAAATATTTGCTTATACATATTAATGCATTCTTATAAAATCTGGTCATATTATTTTGTCCATGCTATTTAAAGTATTCATTATGGGAAATTTCTTAATATTTACGAAATAATTTAATAAAGAATATTAAGAATATTCGCGCAATCCTACTAGCGCATATATGATGTGTGAACGACAGTTGCATTTAAGTCAAACGGTTTAAATATATTGGTGTTTAAATGGATAAAATTACTAAAAAATATATAGTTATTTCGATTGTTTGTCTGCTACCACACTCGATGTTTTGTAGATTTTTCGCACTTATTCACAATAGAATTAAATAAAACTGACGCTTGGGATGATTTGTATATGTACTTCGTGGATAAGCTTTCGTCACTTACATAAGATAGGACCTAAAATGTGTAGATAAAACTGCCGTAAAATTGTTGGCCTGGCAGCGAACCAGACAAAAAATATTGCGACGGTTTCATCACCTAATTAGATGGGGTTATGGATTCCTTCTATTGAACTGTTTCGATGTAAGTATATACTGTATCTTATTAAATGTTTGATATTCATATTGTGTAAATAAATACGTGACCTTTGATTTGCCTTTTTAGTATATCGCATGAATGTCTCCATAGGATTTATGCAGTTATGTAATATAACTTCTTTCTTTGTGCCCTGTATTCAATTAACGTTTTTAATTGTATGCATTTTAACAAATAAAATAGATCGTGAACAGCAGACGTAGATGCCATTGCTTGCTATTAAAATAGGTACAGGACCATTGTTGTGATTGTTATGATTTATGAGTATGGGATGTCACGACAGATCGTTTTATAGAAATTATCTAGACTATTTATAAAACTTCGTTATCATAAATTTTAAGTAATCTTACTTTAATGTTATCATTTCTAGTCAACGACGGCAACAAGAAGTAAATCTTCGAAGAGCAATCCCATAGTCAACAATTCGATTTTAATCACTACATGAATCTGACGGATAGTTGTTTCTCATCTTTGTTCCCGTGGCATTTTGTTTATAAAACGTCCATACAACACACGATAATGTTATCCTAAAGAAAGGGTTACAAACTCATAGAACCGCTCAATTTTCTATATTTATTGCTGTTCGAAGTAGTCTCCGTTTCTCCCTATACATCTTCACATTCGATGAAAGCACTGAGAAAATCATTGGGCCCATTGTTCCCAAGGAGTCAGTTTTACAGCATTTTCAATTTCACCACATCTTCAGGGCTCTTAAAGCGAATACCATGAAGTATGTCGTTGATTCTGGGGAAACAAGTTGAATGAAAGTCGCAGGGTGCCAGGTTGGGACTATGGCGGGTGACTCATTATATCGACGCCTGTTGTAGTCAAATATTGAATTGTTCATTACGCGGAGTGCTCTGAAGTGTTGTCGTGCTGAGGAAGATCCTGCTTTTAGGACGCTGCTTTCGAACATGCTCCAAAACAAAGAACAGTCAATATATCTGCAGTCTGCAGTAACTGTCCTTCCATCTTAAAGCACAACTGTCGCGTAGTGACCTTTCCGACCGGAGAAAGAGCCAATCACTTATTACCTTCACTTCTTCCTTACATTCCTCTAGTTAGTCGATCCTCAAAAAGTACGAGTAATACCCACTGACCTCTTGGTTTTGCGTTTGTAGTAATAAATCCAGTTTTCGTCACATGTGACGATGTCAAATACTGTATTAGAGTGTCCTACGACCTTTTACAACATTTCGTGGCATCAATCCATGCGAGAGCCTTTCTGGTCTTCGCTGAAGGAATCCACCTGGTACAAAGTTTCCCGACGCGTAAATGGTGTACTATTTTTTGTACTTGACTCATACCAGTGCCTAAACTTGCCAGAAACTGTGGTTAGGTCACTTTTTATATTCCTCTATCATGCGTCGCAGAGCAATGATGTTATCTTCGCTGTTGAAGCACGTCCCTGACGCAGATCATCACTGAAATTGCTATGCTCACGCTTAAACTCATATAGCCAATTGTAAATAGTGGCACGGAATGGTGCTTCGTTATTGAATGCCAATCGAAATCTGTCATAGCTTTGTTGTTGAGAAAGGTCAGAACGAAAGTGGTAGTAAAATTCATTTTGTTGTGTGTCAAAAACAAGTGACAAATGAATGCATGAAATACGTTAGGACACCAAAGAGTTCTATGTGCATAATTTAAAAGAAGTTTCCATTGGCAATGTTTATAACTGATCAGTTCTAAAAACGTACAGTGTCACCCTGGTATTAAAGCATAAATCATTGAATCCAAAGTGTTGTAGTGTGATAGTGTGCATGTAAAATGTAAATTTTAAAATATCTGACTTTCCAGGATAAAAATGTTTCATATGGATAAATCTCAAAATAGTTTATTTTTACGATTAAAAATATTTTCGGAAGCTTTCGATGCCTCTAAACACCTAGCGCCTCTCGAAACTATAAAAGAAAACAAGTTTGCTTTAATAATCGTTAATAATAATTTCTTTAAAAACTCTACATGCCTAAATGGGAGCCATGTTGCATAACAACTTATACATGTATAAAGAAAAGTACCTGGAGGTTTTTTTTTTTGGTAAATCATGTATTTTATGCATATTTCATTACTAAGTAATGAAATATGCATAATATGTTTCGATCTTACCGACGTAATAACAAGAAAATATGAACTGCTGTTTTTCACAAAAGAAAGAACTTTAAAAAAAAAGGGAAAAAAATACCAAAATAACAAATCAACAAAAAATAAAAGATAAAGAAAGCAATGATCTGGAATCGAAAAAAAAGTAAATAAATCAGTGTGTAAATGATCGTGATACGAACCACGGCCTTCTGTTTCGTGGCTGTTTGTTAGCGGCCGCCCGATTACCCTCCGAGCTATTATAACATTTTTTTTTTCGGTGGAATTTACCGTCGTATTCGAATAATATTTTTCATTCCCTGAAAACTGGGATAAAAAGACATTTTCTAAAAATGAAACCTAGTCAGATCGATTTTTCGCCCCCAAATCTACGCACATACTAAATTTCATGAAAATTGCTGGAGCCGTTTCCGAGATTCCAATTATATGTATACAAGAATTGCTCGTTAAAAGGATAAGAAAGAAGATATAAGCTGTCGACGTCATTGACAAAATAATTAAAATTTAAATGCGTGCGAAGATTTGTAGATAATTCTGAAATGTATTAATAAAAACAAACAACATTCTTAACTTAATTTAAAACACAATTTCTACATTTTTCCTACTACAGCAATGTTTACTATTTAAA